TTTAATTGAACTTGCTGAAATTTTAAGGGTACATTTTCATGTTTAAAATTCAATATAAAAAAAAAAAAATCACCTTTTAAATATGGGGATCAAGTCTAAAGAGGACTAGGCAGCAGTCGAGGTCAGAGGCCTCAGCAACCTAGTCCACAGACACAGTACCTGGCTGTGGGGACATGGAATCTCACCTCACTGGGGGGAAGGAGCCTGAGCTTGTGCGGGAGGTTGAGAGGTACCGACTACATATAGTCGGCCTCACCTCCACGCACAGTTTGGGCTCTGGAACCCAACTCCTTGAGAGGGGCTGGACTCTCTATTTCTCTGGCGTTGGCCGCGGGGAGCGGCGGCGGGCTGGTGTGGGCTCATTGCCCCACAGCTCAGCTGCTGTGTGTTGGAGTTCACCCTGGTGAACGAGAGGGTTAAGTCCCTGCGCCTTCGGATCTGGGTCATTTAACGTTCACACAGGAGATCACATACAAGTCACATTTAATTGGAAATGTGAAGGACCTCGCAAAAACATCAGATTTCACAAAAAACTCGGAATTGAGCGTTAAGCCCTGCTGTCTGAATGTAGCCTTGGACACTCGGGTGAAGAGAGGGGCAGAGCTGTCAACTGATCACCACCTGGTCTCTGGCGGAGGAGGAAGCCGGAAAGACCTGGCAGACCCAAGTGACTTCCATTGTCAATGCAGCCGCTTGTACCTGTGGTCATAAGGTCTGTGGTGCCTGTCGCAGCAGCAATCCCCAAACCTGATGGTGGACACTGGAAGTAAGGGATGCCGTCAGGCTGAAGAAGGAGGCCTATCGGGCCTTGTTGGCTCGTGGGACTCCTGAGGCAGCTGATGGGTACCGATGGGCCAGGCGTACTGCAGTCTGTGCGATTGCAGAGGCAAAAACTGGGAGCTGGGAGGAGTTCGGTGAGGCCATGGAGGAGGACTACCGGACGGCATCAAAAACATTCTGGCAAATTGTCCGGCACCTCAGGAGGGGGAAGCAGTTCTTCACCAACACTGTTTACAGTGCGGGGGGAGAGCTGTTGACCTCGACTGGGCACGTTGTCCGGCGGTGGAAGGAATACTTTGAGGATCTCCTCAATCCCACCGTCACGTCCTCCTCCGAGGAGGAAGCCGAGGCTGGGGACTCGGAGGCAGACTTGTCCATCACCCTGGCTGAATTCACTGAGGTGGTTAAAGCTCCTCGGTGGCTCTGGGGGTGGATGAGATCCTTCCTGTGTATCTTCTGGTCTATGCCAGAATCCAGCCGATAGTCGAACCTCGGATCCAGGAGGAGCAGTGTGTTCTTCGTCCTGGTCGTGGAACACTGGACCAGCTCTACACTCTCCATCGGGTGCTTGAGGTTCATGGGAGTTTGCCCAACCAGTCCATATGTGCTTTGTGGATCTGGAGAAGGCATTGGACTGTGTCCCTCGTGGTGTCCTGTGGGGGGCGCTCTGGGAGTATGGGGTCCGGTCCCTGTATGACCGGAGCAGGAGCTGTGTTCATTGCCGGCAGTAAGTCAGACCTGTTCCTGGTGCATTTTGGACTCCGTGGTCACTGTATCGGACTGTTGTCGTGATGAGGAAGCTGATCCGAAAGGCAAAGCTCTTGATTTACCATCAGTCTCCTCTCTGGGTAATGACCGAAAGAACAAGATCGCTGATAGAAGCGGCCCAAATGAGTTTCCTCCGCAGGGTGTCTGGGCGCTCCCTTAGAAATAGGGTGAGGAACTCAAAGTAGAGCCACTGCTCCTCCACATGGAGAGGAGCAGCTGAGGGGAGGGCATCTGTTCTAATGCCTCCTGGGTGCCTCCCTCGGGAGATGTTCATGTCCTACCGGCAGGAAGCCCCAGGGAAGACCCAAGACACTCTTATTTTAGAAAAATTCAAAGTGAGAAATTCAGCGGTATTTTAAAATTCAAAATCTGATGGAACAAGTTATCTTCCATAATTGGATCTATTCATGCTTATGTCACAAACCCAGAAGACGTTAAAACATGCGGATGACGACTTCCATTGGGTTCTGTTGGCGATGGGGGAGCCGGTTTTCTTCATCTAGATGTCATTGTATTCTTTCTTTTTTCCTTTTATAAATTGCCTATTCATTTGTGTATTATAATTTGTCTAACTTAATAAAAACAACAATAATCAACAGTTACATCAGCTGCCTGTAAGTGACATCGAAGAAGTGATTAGAGAAAAGCTTTGGCAGGTTGTGAAGACGGTGCTGCTAAATCCACGGTTTTATCACAGGCCCAGTGTCGGGAACTACACCGGAAGTCTTCATCCGCATGTTTCCAAACGTCTTGTAAACGGGACTAAAGCCTATTATGACCTTCAAGTGATAGAAGACGTCAATCAGGTGGAGGAAGTGCTCGGACTGCGCCCCCTCCTGGAGCCACTCCTTTACGTCAGGGTCGCGACAGTGCCTCTGAGCGTAGTTCAGAAGTTTGGTCCTCCTGCAGACACAGCCGGGGTCCTCTATGCACTCGAGCACATCCTTCAGCTCCTCCAGCGCAGAGCTGAAGGCAAAAAGCAAAACTGAAGTGGAAACAGGAGTGAACAGTAGTGAAGAGTATGACAGGCGTTAATACAAACCTGATGTCCTGCATTGCCTTCTGAAGATCGTCCACGTCCTTCTGGATCACATTGGCCTTGTTTCTCTGTGATCGGCTGTCAACACATGAAGTTACATCCTGTCCACGATTACTCGCTCTGAAGCTCGGGGAAATGTTGTACGATCGGTGCGTCTGAAAAACACGACAATGTATGAGGAGGTGTCTGGGGAGAGGAACGAGTGCACGGTTCAGGATCTCACCGCTCTTTTTCCTGATGTTTTGACTGGAGCTTTTAAATTCATCCCGTCCAATAGACCCAAAATCTTCAGAATCTTCAGAACGCAACGTTGAAGAAAGGAGGGCCTGGAGGAGGAGGAGGAAGGCGTGTCTGAAGAAGAGGAGTAACTCTCGATAATAGCGCTAAAGTCCAGGTCATCGACATTGAAGCCTACGTCTTTGGCAAAGTAGGAAAGGATCTCTTCGATTACAGCTGCTCTTTCCTCCTCTTCTCCTTCATCCTCTTCTAGATCTTCACGTAGGCACCTCCTCAAAAATTCAAAGTTCTCACGGATCCTAGAAAGGGTGACCTCAGAGGAGCCAACGCTGTCTTCGGTCGCCTTCCTCAGCTCGCCGGTATGGAACCTCTTCGTGATCTCGAGTAAGGCCCCCAGGCTGATGAAGACGAACCCCAACACGCTGAAGATATAAGCGGACACGTAGCCAAAGAAGACCACCGCCAGCAGGACCAGGCCCACCGTCGCCCCACGTTTGCCGAGGATCTCCCAGCGCTCCCACCTCCTCGTCTCCAGGCTGAGGGCGCGAAGTTTGGAGTTGCAGTCCTTCCTCTGCTTCATCCACCGCTGCATCTGCCCCATCAGCAGCTCCACCTGCAACTCCACCTGCAGCTCCTTGGGCTCCATCGTTCACCGGACTGTGTGGCAGGTTTTATGCCAGATGCCTACACTGGTCAAGTAGGTGGGAAAGTGGAAAAATATTGGCATGTCATGATTCAAAACTGTGTTAATTAAGCCAAATGTATGTGTTTTTTATTTCAACCCGATTATTCCAGGGCTTCCTTGACTTACAGACGTGGACAAAATTGTTGGTTCCCTCTGACAATGAAAGAAAAATCAACAATTGTCACGGAAATAACTGAGCCTGAGGAAAAAGTAAAAAGAAAATAATAAATAAAAATTTCCTGAAAATTGTCCAACGAAAATCAAACATTGCTTTTCACGTGTGGTTCAACAGAATTATTAGAAAAAACTAAATAATGAAACTGGCCTGGACCAAAATGATGTTTCCCGTAACTTAAAATTTAGTTGCGCAACCTTTTTTGAACAACAATTCAAAAACAGTGTCTGAGTTGAAGCCGTGTGTCATTCGTTCATTCGTTTTTTCAATATAAAACCAAACATAACTGTAGGAGCTATTTGCTTATTCTGTTGATTCTAAAATGTGTTTATTATTTTTGTTTGTTAGTTAGCTTACTAATTTAGTTTTGTTAATTTGTATAATATATTTTTGCTATGTTAATGTTATTCTTGCTAATTTCTTAGTTTAAATTGGTATTATTTACGTTAGCACCTCCTTTTTGTTTTTGGTTTAATTCGGGTCACCTAGGGGATAAAAGAGGGTGGTACACGTAGACCTGAGTGACCTGGGGCCTGTGGTTTTTTCCCAGTCACGAGGAGAAGCAGCAGGAGTCGCCTTAAACATGTTTTCCTTGTTGTTTGCCCAAACTGGAAAATAAACCTTGGAAAATCATCTCTTGTCATGGACATTGATTTGTGCTGCGTAAACCACATCCCCACGGTGCCAAAGGTGATTATCTGAGTTATGTTTAGTTCTGAGTTTGTCCACACTTTTGTTTGTTACATTTATTTGACAAATAGTCACTTCAGCAGTAAAAAACCTTGCCCTTGGACCTTCAGGACGATTCATTGGATCGATATCAAGTGGATTATTGTGGATTAATGCGCGGATGGCAGCGTAAAGTTTGTTTGATTCATGCCTTTGTTCTCCGGACAGCGTCAGCGGGAAAGTTGCCTCTACCTTTAAACGCTCTCTCCTCCTCTCAAAAGTCAATGGTATGTGTAATATGATTGCTAATGCTGTAAAGGAAAACGGCCAAACTATTGGAGTTTGATGATAGTGATTTATATTGCCATACAAGTCGTCAAAACGGAGATTAATCAAAGCTGGATTTATGTGCAGTACCTTTACGCACCGCTAGTAACCACGTAACAAGTTGGAAAGAAATAAATGTTTGGAAAAAAGGTGTTGTTGCTGTGTGCCCATTGTAATTTGAATTGTGGATCTTGAACAAAAGAAACTCACAACTGATTAAAAAATGTCGAACGTTTCAAAAGTACAAACAGCTGTGGAACATGAGCCGCAAGTGTCAGGCAAAAGGAGCCTCAAATTTACGGCCAAAGGTCTGAGCCTTAGAATGCAAACTTGCCAAGAAAAACGGAAAGGAAAATGCAAACAAGCAAAAAGACTGATGGAGGATTTGAACATATTAATGAAATCAAAGCATAATGCAAATTCAGTGATGTCACTTCTCAACGTGTTCGTTCAATGCCAGCAAGACGCACAAAGTGCGCATGATGCGTTCACTAATCTGCCGTTACCTTTGGATGAACTCTCAACACAAAATGAATATTCTGCAAATAAAATGAGTACTTACTGTGAATTTGTTGAGTGTGTCAAGAGCTGGTTGAGTGATCTGGGTCTTTCATATGTGCCAAAATCAAATACGGATAATAATCAAAATGTGGATGACTTGGGTCCAGAGGACAGTGCCTCAAATTTGTGCTTTGAAAAGTCCAGTGTATCAAAGACGCGCTCTCAAACCTCCACTGTGTCCATGCGCCTCAAAGCAGAGGCCGACAAAGCAGCGCTACTGGAACGTGTCGCAGCTCTGAATAAAAAACATGAAATTGAGGCACGGGAGGAAAAACTAAAAATCGAAAGTGAAAAATTGAAAAGGCAAAAGGAACAACTCGAACTTCAAACACAACTCGCTGCTGCAAATGCTAAGCTCCGTGTTTAGGACATCAGTTCTTCTCAATGTGGCTCCAAAATCTCAAAAATTTCCAATGGCATGAACTCGTATGTCACCAAAGCAATGCAATTAAATCCATGTGCAGACGCATTTATGCCTGAGCAAAAAGACAATCCCAATGTGCACGTTACCACCACAGTGCAACCACAAGTCGTTCGCTCCAAACAAAACTTCAGTAAAAATGTGTCTCAAAATAAAAGTGTTGATTGTTGCAAATAAATTGCTCAACCCATCCCATCTGACGAGTTCCAAACACAGCCGCAAATAAATCATTCACCAAATATAATGGACATAATGCAAAGACAAAATGACATCACTGCCCTACTGGTCCAGCAAAATCTGAGCTCAGTACTGCCCCCTCGGGATCAGACCGAGACCAAAGCAGGACCAGGGCGGACTCTGAGCTTTGACTCCGAGACTCTGCAGGGTCCGAGCCTCAGCTTCGATCTCCGGCCCTTCCGTGGGCACTGAGCCTCCGGTCTGGTCCCGGTCTGGTCCCGGTCTGGTCCTGGTCTGGTCTGGTCTGGGTCTCAGTCCCGCTCTGGTCCCGGTTTCAGTTCTGATCTCAGTCTCGGTCTGGTCCCGGTCTGGTTCTGGTCTGGTCCCGGACCTGGATCAGTCCTGGTTCAGTCTGTACGTGGTGCAAAAGTTCGGCATCACAGTCACTGAAGTCACGTAAACGGGAAACGGTCGTTATCTGTTTTTTTCCATTTTTCATTTAAACACAAAATCGAAAACTGAAAAAACGAATCATTATCTGTTTTTTTCATTTTGGTTTTGGAGACAAATAACAAAGAAAACTGTTGTTTTTTTGTTTTCTTATTTTTGGTTTTATATTGAAAAACGAATGAACGAACGACACACGGATTGAGTTTCATTGGTTATTTTTCAGGAAATTTTTATTTATTATTGCTTTTCTCAGGTTCAAGTTATTTCCGTGACGATTGTTGATTTTTCTTTCATTACCAGAGGAAACCAACAATTTTGTCCACGTCTGTAAATTTGTTTTGTGCCAGAACAAGAGTTTGTTTTCATACCTGACGGAGCAAACATGACTGGGACAGAGGAAAACAAACTTCGTCGCTGAATTAAAGAGGAAATCGAAATACGGAAACGCGCCCACGGGACGATAAACCGGGACGAGGGGCTTTTTTACTCTCACACACCTGGGATTCTGTCCTGAGGAAGTGGACCTGCAGGTGGCGCTGTGGTGGACGCCGAGGCTCTAGACGCGCGTCCAGAGCCTCGGCGTCCAGGAGTGATGTTATGATCAGGAAGAAAGAGAAAGACCCAGAGAACCAGAACCACAAACACGAGCGGATCACAAGGACTGGACCAGGACTAGACCGGGACTAAACTAGGACTAAACCAGGACTAAACTAGGACTAGACCAGGACTGGACCAGGACTAGACCAGGACTAGACCGGGACTAGACCAGGACTAAACCAAGACTAGACCAAGACTAAACAAGGACTAGACTAGACCAGGACTAGACCAGGACTAGACCAGGACTAGACCAAGACTAAACAAGGACTAGACCAGGACTAGACCAGGACTAGACCAGGACTAGACGACTACTAGACCAGGACTAGACCAAGACTAAACAAGGACTAGACCAGGACCAGACCAGGGCCGAACCAGGACTAAACCAGGACTAAACCAGGACTAGACCAAGACTAGACCAGGACTAAACTAGGACTAAACCAGGACTAGACCAGGACTGGACCAGGACTGGACCAGGACTAGACCGGGACTAGACCAGGACTAGACCAAGACTAAACAAGGACTAGACCAGGACTAGACCAGGACTAGACTAGGACTAGACCAAGACTAAACTAGGACTAGACCAGGACTAGACCAGGACTAGACCAAGACTAAACAAGGACTAGACCAGGACTAGACCAGGACTAGACCAAGACTAAACAAGGACTAGACCAGGACTAGACCGGGACTAGACCAGGACTAGACCAGGATTAGACCAGGACTAAACAAGGACTAGACTAGGACTAGACCAGGACTAGACCAAGACTAAACTAGGACTAGACCAGGACTAGACCAGGACTACACCAGGACCAGACCAGGGCCGAACCAGGACTAAACCAGGACTAGACCAGGACTAGACCAGGACTAGACCAGGACTAGACCAAGACTAAACAAGGACTAGACCAGGACTAGACCAGGACTAGACCAAGACTAGACCGGGACTAGACCAGGACTAGACCAAGACTAGACCAAGACTAGACCAAGACTAAACAAGGACTAGACCAGGACTAGACCAGGACTAGACCAAGACTAAACAAGGACTAGACCAGGACTAGACCAAGACTAAACAAGGACTAGACCAGGACTAGACCAGGACTAGACCAGGACTAGACCAGGACCAGACCAGGGCCGAACCAGGACTAAACCAGGACTAAACCAGGACTAGACCAAGACTAGACCAGGACTAGACCAGGACCAGACCAGGGCCGAACCAGGACTAAACCAGGACTAGACCAGGACTGGACCAAGACTAAACCAGGACTAGACCAGGACTAGACAAGGACTACACCAGGACCAGACCAGGGCCGAACCAGGACTAAACCAGGACTAGACCAGGACTAGACCAGGACTAGACCAAGACTAGACCACAAATAGACCAGGACGGAACCACAACTAAACCAGGACTACACCAAGACTGGACCAAGACTGGACCAGGACTAGACCAAGACTAGACCAGGACTAGACCACAAATAGACCAGGACGGAACCAGGACTAAACTAGAACTAGACCAGGACTGGACCAGGACTAAACCAGGACTAGACCAAGACTGGACCAAGACTGGAGCAGGACTAGACCAGGACTAGACCAGGACAGAAGCAGGACTAGACCAGGACTAGACCAGGACTAGACCAGGACTACACCAAGACTAAACCAGGACTAAACCAAGACTGGACCAAGACTGGACCAGGACTACACCAGGACCAGACCAGGGCCAAACCAGGACTAGACCAGGACCGAACCAGGACTAAATCAGGACTAGACCAGGACTGGACTAGGACTAGACCAGGTCTAAACCAGGTCTAAACCAGGACTTACATGTCAGGCGCTGTTATTCTGCCAATCAAAGTCCACATGAAACTAAACATCCAAACTGCTGACCTCTGTGGGTCTGGGTCTGGGTCTGGGTCTGAGTCTGACCTCTGTAAGTCTGAGTCTGGTCTGGGTCTGACCTCTGTGGTCTGAGTCTGGGTCTGGTCTGACCTCTGTGAGTCTGGGTCTGGGTCTGAGTCTGACCTCTGTGAGTCTGGGTCTGGGTCTGAGTCTGACCTCTGTGAGTCTGGGGGTCTGAGTCTGACCTCTGTGAGTCTGAGTCTGGGTCTGGGTCTGAGTCTGACCTCTGTGAGTCTGGTCTGGGTCTGAGTCTGACCTCTGTGAGTCTGAGTCTGGGTCTGGGTCTGACCTCTCTGTGAGTCTGGGTCTGGGTCTGACCTCTGTGAGTCTGGGTCTGAGTCTGGGTCTGGGTCTGACCTCTGTGAGTCTGGGTCTGAGTCTGACCTCTGTGAGTCTGAGTCTGGGTCTGGGTCTGACCTCTGTGAGTCTGGGTCTGGGTCTGGGTTTTGGGAGACGTCTGTAAACACTGCGCTCGCTGTCCTCGTGTCTCCAGTTCACATGCGCGACACTTTTGGGGTGTTTAAAGTTCACACTGCAGGTCACACACTGCAGGTCACACACTGCAGGTCACACACTGCAGGTCACACACTGCAGGTCACACACTGCAGGTCACACACTGCAGGTCACACACTGCAGGTCACATTTAACTGGAAATAACCGCAAAAAAGTCAGATTTCACAACAAAATCCAAATTGCGCATTAATCCTGCGGTCCTAAATTATGAAGTTTTTATTAAACGAGGAAGGCTGAAGTTTCTGACTTCCACATAAACATCTGTGCTGCTGTTTCTTTTCACGCTCCTCTGCCGCGTTTCCTCGTGTTCGTGCCTCGTGTCTGTTAGGATCTGTTCGTCTTTTTGTTTCAGACGCTGAGCTGGACTCACCTGGCGCGTGCTGCAGTCTGGACACAGGACTGTGGGGGTTTGGGCAGGACACACTGGTCATGTGGTGTCAGAGACGCGGCCGAGTCCGGAGTCCGGGAGTCCGGGGCCGAGTCCGGGGCCGAGTCCGGGGCCAGGTCTGTGGAAAGACGCGTTTGAGGGTCTGATGTGTCTCACAGACCCAGACTCCCAGTACATCGAAACTGAAAGTGTCTCTATGAATCTGTGTGTCGTTCGTTCATTTGTTTTTCAATATAAAAACAAAAAAAGAAAAGAAAACGAAAAAAAAAAAACCCAACAACAACTGTTTTCTTCATTATTTGTTTCCAAAACCAAAATTTAAAAACAGATAATGATTCGTTTTTTCAGTTTTCGGTTTTGTGTTTAAATGAAAAAAGGAAAAAGCTGATTTCCCGTTTCCCGTTTCCTGTTTCCGTGACTGCGATGCCAGATTTTTATCTCGCATACGGACTGAACCAAAATAAACCAGGACTAAACCAGGACTGAACCAGGACTAAACCAGGACTAAACCAGGACTAAACCAGGAATAAACCAGGTCTGAAAACCAGAACTAAACCAGGTCTAAACCAGGACTAAACCAGAAAACCAGGTAAACCAGGACTAAACCAGGACTAAACCAGGACTAAACCAGTAAACCAGGACTAAACCAGGACTAAACCAGAACTAAACCAGGACTAAACCAGGTCTAAACCAGGACCAGGACTAAACCAGAACTAAACCAGGACTAAACTAAACCAGGACTAAAACCAGGTCTAAACCAGGACTAAACCAGAACTAAACCAGGACTAAACCAGGTCTGAAACCAGGAACCAGGACTAAACCAGGACTAAACCAGGACTAAACCAGAACTAAACCAGGACTAAACCAGGACTAAACCAGGACTAAACCAGGTAAACCAGGACTAAACCAGGTCTAAACCAGGACTAAACCAGGACTAAACCAGGACTGGACTAAACCAGGACTAAACCAGGACTAAACCAGGAAAAACCAGGACTAAACCAGGTCCAGGACTAAACTAAACCAGGACTAAAAACTAAAACCAGGACTAAACCAGGACTAAACCAGAACTAAACCAGGTAAACTAAACCAGAACCAGGACTAAATCAGGTCTAAACCAGAAAAACCCAGAACTAAACCAGGACTGAAACCAGAACTAAACCAGGACTAAACCAGGACTAAACCAGGACTAACCAGAACCAGTAAACCAGAACTAAACTAAACCAGGACTGAAACCAGAAACTAAACCAGGACTAAACCAGAACTAAACCAGGACTCACCTGACAACAAACATCAGCAATCAAATATTTTAAAGACCCCATAGTACAATATGTCATGATTTCTGTTATAATTTAGTTTTCCAGAATAAGGTAAATGTCGCCGTGCCGGGCTCTGTCTGTACCTTATTGTTGATGTCGGCCAGCAGGGGGCAGTCTCTGGCCAGGTGCAGGTGCAGGACTGTGGTCTCCACCCAGGCATCGTCTGTGTTCCCGGAATCATCCCCATAACCCTTGTACAGCTCGAACATATGTTTATAATTATTAGGAGCGTAACGGTTCATGTATTCATGCCAAACTGTTTCAGTTCAGGACGTTTGGTTCGGTGCAGGGCTGTGCACGAGTGAGTTTGCACAGTTTGTGTGTTTTCATTCCTCCACTTCGTGTGCAGCCACACAGAGGCTCGACTCTTTAATATTCACGAGGGACTCTTCTGTGATTGGTTCAGTGTTTCCTGCAGCGCTTTATAGTTAGAGCGACGCCTTCAGAACAAAGCTGAAATTGGTCCATGAAGTGAAGTATCTGGGAGTCACACTGGACCCACAACTTTTGTTCAAACAACATGTCAAAAGAACAGTGAAAAAAATCAAATATATGATGAAAATTCTATAAATTATAAGAAATAATCTAACAACAAACTTGGTAATTATGTATTTAAATTCAATGATTTTGCCGCATCTAAATTATTGCATTGCATATTGTTGAACTCTGACAAGAAAAACTCTTAAATTAGCTGAAACTATTTATAAAAAAGCACTTAAGATATTAGATAAAAAGCCCAAAAATTATCACTATTGCAAAATACTTGAGAAATACAAATTCCTAAATTGGGACAACAGAATTAAATAACCAGATTTAAGTTTGGTATACAAAGTTTTTTAATAATCTTGCTCCAACTTGTCTAAAGAAGTTTGTGAAAAGAAACTCAAATCACACAAGAGCAGATTCTAGAGGCGACTGCTCTGTGCCGTTTAGGAAAAATGCTTTTGGACAACTCTGTTTTGCTTCTGGAGCAGGTCAAACATGGTCAGTGCCTGCTCATATACAAGAACTTTCCACACTGGCAGCATTTTCTAAAGCCTCGTTTACATGTACACAGGTATTTTTTTAAACTGAGACATTTCCCTTGGTTTGTATCCATCTTTCACACGCAAATGAAGAATTCGCCTCTGAAAACAAATCTTTCTAAAAACTCTAGTATGTTGTTTGTGTGTAAAGTGAGATAAACAGAGTTTTAGGAGCTGACGTGCCAAAAGTCATGGTAACACTGTTACTGGCAACAGTATTACCATCGCGCTAAGGACCCTGAGCTGCCTGCAGGTGCCTGATCAAATAAACAGCTATCTTAGGGAAGTTTCTACAATTGCTGTGTTAAAGGATCTTTTTTGACCTGACTCTCAATCATTTACAGGCCCATTAAAACCTCAGAAAATCAAGCAGGAAAGTACAGATAAACAAACCTCATTGTAAAAGAGTCATATTGTAAGAGCATCATAAAAACACAAACTATAAAAATTACCTTTGCCTCTATCACATATAAATCTAGAAACGTCACATTTAATTGCAGAAGTTAGTGGTTGGTTTTACATTGTTACATGAAGCGTTGTTGTTAAACAAGAGGAGGTCAGAGGTCAGTGAGGCCTGGTTCAAGTGTACCGTATTTTTTGGACCAGAAGTTGCACTTTTTTCAGGGTTTGGGTGTTTCCTGCAACATAACACCATTTCCACTATTTTAACTGTACTTAGAACCCCTCCTTGACCCGTCACCTTATCGTGGTGGAGGGGTTTGAGTGCCCGAATGATCCCAGGAGCTATGTTGTCGGGGGCTTCATGCCCCTGGTAGGGTCACCCTAGGCAAACAGGTCCGGGGGGACGGGTCAGACGAAGAACGGTTCAGAAGCCCCTTATGATGAGCAACACGCAGAGGCCAGTTACGTCGCCCGGATTGGCGTCACCGGGGCCTCACCCTGGAGCCAGGCCTGGGGTGGGTGCTCGTCAGCGAGCGCCTGGTGGCCGGGCCTCCCCCCACGGGGCCCGGCTGGGCTCAGCCCGAAGGAGCGACGTGGGGCCGTCCTCACGTGGACCCACCACCCGCGGGAGGAGCCATATGGGGCCAGTGCAGAGAGATCTGGGCGGCAGTCAAAGGTGGGGGCCTCCGGACATGGAGACTGTGGCTCTGGGGACATGGAATGTCACCTCGCTGGGGGGGAAGGAGCCTGAGCTTGTGCGGGAGGTTGAGTGTTACCGACTAGATATAGTCGGCCTCACCTCCACGCACAGTTTGGGCTCTGGAACCCAACTCCTTGAGAGGGGCTGGACTCTCCATTTCTCTGGCGTTGGCCGCGGGGAGCGGCAGCGGGTGGTGTGGGGGGGTGGGGGGCGGCGGGCTGGTGTGGGGGGGGCTGGTGTGGGCCTGCTCATTGCCCCACAGCTCAGCCGCTGTGTGTTGGAGTTCACCCCGGTGAACGAGAGGGTCGCGTCCCTGCGCCTTCGGGTCGGGGACAGGTCTCTCACTGTGGTGTTGGCCTACGGGCCGAACAGCAGTGCAGAGTACTCGAGTACCCGGCCTTCTTGGAGTCCTTGGGAGGGGTACTAGACAGTGCACCGACCGGGGACTCCGTTGTTCTCCTGGGGGACTTCAACGCCCACGTGGGCAACGACGGTGACACTTGGAGAGGGGTGATTGGGAGGAACGGCCTCCCCGATCTGAACCCGAGCGGTGTTTTGTTATTGGACTTCTGTGCTAGTCACGGTTTGTCCATAACAAACACCATGTTCGAGCACAAGGGTGCCCATAAGTGCACTTGGCACCAGGACACCCTAGGCCGGAGGTCGATGATCGACTTTGTAGTCGTGTCATCTGACCTCCGGCCGCGTGTCTTGGACACTCGGGTGAAGAGAGGGGCTGAGCTGTCAACTGATCACCACCTGGTTGTGAGTTGGGTTCACTGGTGGAGGAGGAAGCCGGAAAGACCTGGCAGGCCCAAGCGTGTAGTGAGGGTCTGTTGGGAACGTCTGGCAGAGCCTCTGTCAGAGGGACCTTCAACTCGCACCTCCGGGAGGACTTCTCCCGGATTCCGGGGGAGGCTGGAGATATGGAGTCCGAGTGGGCTTCATTCTTTGCCTCTATTGTCAATGCGGCTGCTCGGAGCTGTGGGCGTAAGGTCTGTGGTGCCTGTCGCAGCAGGCAATCCCCGAACCCGGTGGTGGACACCGGAAGTAAGGGATGCTGTCAAGCTGAAGAAGGAGTCCTATCGGGCCTTGCTGACTCGAGGGACTCCTGAAGCAGCTGACAGGTACCGGTGGGCCAAGCGTGCTGCAGCTCGTGTGGTCGCGGAGGCAAAAACTCGGAGCTGGGAGGAGTTCGGGGAGGCCATGGAGAAGGACTATCGGACGGCCTCAAAGAGATTCTGGCAAACCGTCCGGCGCCTCAGGAGGGGAAATCAGTTCTTCACCAACACTGTTTACAGTGCGGGGGGAGAGCTGCTGACCTCGACTGGGGACGTTGTCCGGCGGTGGAAGGAATACTTTGAGGATCTCCTCAATCCCACCGTCACGTCCTCCGAGGAGGAGGCCGAGGCTGGGGACTCGGAGGCGGACTTGTCCATCACCCAGGCTGAAGTCACTGAGGTGGTTGGAAAGCTCCTTGGTGGCAAGGCTCCGGGGTTGGATGAGATCCGTCCTGAGTACCTTAAGTCTCTGGATGTTGTGGGTCTTGGCTGACATGCCTCTTCAACATCGTGTGGCGGTCGGGGACAGTACCTCTGGACTGGCAAACCGGGGTGGTGGTCCCTCTGTATAAGAAGGGGGACCGGAGGGTGTGTTCCAACTATAGGGGGATCACACTCCTCAGCCTTCCCGGTAAGGTCTATGCCAGGGTACTGGAGAGGAGAATCCGCCCGATAGTCGAACCTCGGATTCAGGAGGAGCAGTGTGGTTTTCGTCCTGGCCGTGGAACACTGGACCAGCTCTACACTCTCCATCGGTGCTCGAGGTTCATGGGAGTTTGCCCAACCAGTCCACATGTGTTTTGTGGATCTGGAGAAGGCATT